GAGTACTGTGTTCAGTTTTGGGCCCCTCACTACAAGAAGGACATTGAGGTGCTGGAGCGTGTCCAGAGAAGGGCAACGAGGCTGGTGAAGGGTCTAGAGAGCAAGTCTTATGAGAAGCAGTGGAGGGGACTGAGGTTGTTTAGCCTGGAGAAGAGGAGGCTGGGGGGAGACCTTATAGCTCTCTATCACTACCTGAGAGGAGGTTGTAGTGGGGTGGGTGTTGGTCTCTTCTCCTAAGTAACTAGCAATAGGATAAGGGCAAGTGGCCTCAAGTTGTGCTACGGGAGGTTTAGATTGGATATTAGGAAAAATTTCCTTACTGAAAGAGTGGTCAAGCATTGGAAGAGGCTGCCCAGGGAAGTGGTTGAGGCACTGTCCCCCGAGGTATTTAAAAGACGTGTAGATGCAGAGTTTAGGGACGTGGTGTAGTGGTGGAATTGGCAGTGTTAGGTTAATGGTTGGACTTGATGATCTTGAAGGTGTCCTCCAGCCTAAACAATTCTATGATTCTATGATTATATGCTGGTTTTAGAAGGGGTTCTTGGGGATTACTAAATGGGCATACAGTAAGTCCTAAAAATCTGACTCCAGCGGGCAAATGATTTCTTAAGGATGGATTTTCGGTTTTATCTCCAAAGTACTTGGAGCAGATTATTAATAAACTGTGACCAGTTATGTGGTATGTCACCAGGTGTTACATATTTTCCAAAACAGAATGGAGGATGTAATTGTTCTGCAGCCAGGCATTTTCTGATGTTTGGTTTGGCAAAAATATTTACTATATCATTAAAACAAGTAAGGATTGTGTGAAATAGATATATATGGTGCTGGCATATGTACATGCATGTACAAATACATCCCATGTTTTTATGGTGCTATAGAATTAGATCAACTTAAGTTTTCTGGTTGCTGGAGAATGACTAATTCTGTATAAAGAAGCTATGAACTTTGTATAGCCATGGTCAAATCTCTTCTATCCTGAAGTAAATGAGGGGAAGGACTTGTTTTCTGAAGTCAGCACAAAGTGAGATTCTCTCGAGATACAGGTATCTCGTTTTGTTCAGTGATGTTATTTTGGGGGCTTTGTGTATGAATTTGTGATCATATGTGTGTGCTGTAAACTGTTGAATATTCCATTGTGTGGACATTGGTGTGTCATACAAGTGTTGCATGATTCACATAGGATATACGCTAGTATTGGCGAATGCTGCGGAGTCTGTATTTGTGCTATCTTTGCTAAATTGCCTTTGTTTCTGTAAGGATATGATTACATGACATACTACAGTGCTGTACAGGGGTACGCAAACTAGTTGTGAATGAGCTGTCCTGAGCTAGTGGAGGCAGTACAGTATACAGCAGCACAAGCTTCTTGGGCTCATTAGCCCTGCTGAGGAGTAGGATAGGTGAGATGTGCCATATAGGTCTACCGTGAATTTTGAGATCAAATATTTTGGTGGGATTATTAAAATATATTCAGTTAATGATGACAGCAATATTATTTAATTGCAATTGCAGTTGTGTTTCAATAAGTCTACCTTCCTGACTGATTGCTGTTGGATATACTTATTTTATCACTAAGAAAAATTAGGAATTTCCTAGATTAAAACATGGTGTGCTTCATTAATCAACCACTGTAATATTATTACTTTACCTTTAGGAAAATTGAAATTAAGTTGTGATTAGGTTAAGCATTGTAATTTTTGAATTAATTTGATAAATCCTTACTAAGGAGGAGAGTTGAATGAACTTGCTTCCTCCTCAGGGAACGTATTTCAGACTTCAGTTTGTTACAAAACAATGCCAAAAAGTGTGAACAATAGAAGTGTCCTTTCTCAAATTATCAGCAAATACTCGTTTTTAAACCCCATTAAGCTAAAGTAAGAGTGATTTATGAACAGCAGAACTGGAACTTACCTTGGAAGGACTTGAGGTAGATAAAAGAGAGGCTTTTACTCATTATCCTACTGTAGTGGAGCATTTTAATTGAGTTAGACACAAAATTCGTAAAACTGCAAGTGTAAGAAAATATTGTATCCGAGCTCAATCCTTTTTCTTGATTTTTATTTGGGGTGTTTTTTTGTTTGGTTGGTTGTTTTTTTGCAAGCCCTGAAGGGATGATTGGAAGAGAGCAAATTCAGCAAGAAATCTAACCGCAGGCAAGGTGACATTAATCTCAAAGATGTTCCAGATGAACTTGAACTGTCTTGAAAAATACAAATACACAGACAAAAGACCCTGCAGGGGCAACTTTTGAATAACCAAACTCTAGCTAGTTCAGCACTCCAATACTAGCAGTAGGAACAGTAGATTGTAAATCAGGAGCTGGGGTTTTCAGAAAAAAACCCCAAACCAAACCCCCAAACCAACGACCAAAACCTCCAAACCTAACCTGTTTTGAAGCAAGTTTTAGCGTTTTAGTTAGGAGGTTGGGGGTTGCCAACGCTTGGTCTATTCTAGTACTTCTGTCACTGTGGTTTCTGGTGGAGCAGCATCTGCGATGGTAGTGGTGGAAATTTATTCTGTACTCAATAGTTCTGGTGTTTACCAGATTCAATTTTGGTTTTTACTACTTTGCAAAAATAAAATCTATCTTTTATATTCCATAGTGTATACTCTAATACACAGCACAATAATGTTTTACTATATTTACAGATTTTCATAAATAATGAAAATAAATGTTACCTTAAAGAGCAGCTACAGAAGACATTCCATTCTGACATCATACTGTAAATAAAATGTAAAACCTTTATCATAATATATAACTCCAGACACCTGAGTGTCTGCTTACAATTTTGTTCTGGTATGTTTCCGTACTTTAATATTCTGTAAAAAAATTAAAAATTACTTACATGGGTGAAAGTAACAGTAATTCAGAGGCATGAGCAA